CCATTTTGGAACCCTATGACAGAATACATCACAATCAACAGTGAACAACGCTTTGGCATCTCCAGCTTACCAATACATTGATCATGAACTACATCCAGAAAAAAACAGCAGGGCTGGGGATATAGCTCAGTGGCACAAGTGTCTGCCTGGCAGGCACAAGGTCCTGAGTTCAATTCCCAGTACAAAACAAACAAACAAAAAAAAAAAAAACCAGCAACAACACACAAAGAGGGGATGCTCATTTAGCAGAACTACAGGATGGTGCAAACAAGGTAACTATGGTGAATGACAAAACCTACAAAAGAAGGTACAGTAAATAACTGGAGAAGAAATCCAAAATGTAGTATAATATTTTTTGTTTGTTTGCTGGGGGATGAACCTAGGGCCACTGGCATGCTAGGAAAGCACCTTAGTGTTGATCTACAGGCTTTCCCTTTTTCTTTACTCTGAGACAATGTCTTGCTATGTTGCCCAGGCTGGCCTCACACTTGCCATACTCCTGCCTCCTGAATAACTAAGATTATAGGCATGCACCACCTCATTTACCTGCAATATACTATTATGTACTAAGTCTTATAATTTACCAGACTTGTTATTGAAAATACAGTGATACCTCAGGTCACGAACTTAATTCTTTTCATGACTCTGCTCACAAACCAAACTGTACAAGAACCGAATCAAATTTCCCCACCAGGTCAGAAGGATTGTGAGTCTGAGGCCAGTCTAGGCTACAAAGAGAGTTCAAAGCCAGCCTGACTACACAGTAAAACCCTACCTCAAAAAAAAAAGGAGGTGGTGAATTTGTAACCTACTCCTCAAATCTATAATATAGTCAGTGCTTGTTCATTTGCTAGATTGAAAATAATTATACTCTCTGAGTATAATCTTTCAAAATTAAGATACTTCTGACTGTATGAAAATATTTGATTAGTCACTGAAAATTCCTACATTTTTTTCTAGTTTAGACATTTTAAAAGAACTAGAAATAAAATGGCCACAGAAACCTTTCTCAGAATGACAACCAATATGAAAAAATGTCATTTAAGAAATTACAGGCACACGCCTGTAATACCAGCACTCAGGCCAGCTGGGCTACACAAGCGAGTTCAAAGCCAGCCTGCACGACATGGCAAGACCCTGTCTCAAGAAAGAAAAGAAACTAAAGTGTGGTGTTACTTTTTTGCTTGGAGAAGGAATAACAAATGCTAAAGTTACCTAATTCCTACAGAGAAAGAATATATATATATATATATATATATATGAATATGATATATGTACTTTTACTGTAAAAGTATACTTTGTACCTACCTTCCTCAGTTCTCAAAATATGCCAGGAAAACATTTTAAGAAGCTCTTCTAGCTAAGAGAATGATTACAGAAGTTTAAATGGCTTGGTAATGCAGATCCCAAGTCCAAGCCCAAGCCTCATCTTTCCTACTGTCCTTTTGGCGACAAAGCAACACTGTTATGTAAGGAGGGGAAGGTGATCATAACCTCACTACAGCAGACACGGTCCTCTGAAGGAGAAAGAGCAAAGGGGAAAACGGGCAAAGGGCTAAGAGCTGCTAGGGAACGCGAGGCAACTCCAAAGCCCTAGACTGTACAAACCCCGCATTACACAGACTGCGGAACACTCCAACTTCTTCCACGGACGGGCCAAGAGCTCCTACCAGCGTTTCCAGGCGCGATGACTCGGGACAGCTCCCAGGGAGCGAGCCAAGCAGGGGAAGAGCTCCACGAGGCGCCATGATGTCAGCAGCCTCACTTCCCGTCCACAGCCAAAAATAACCTCACCGAGAAAGGCAGCTATGCCAAGTCCTTCAGGTATCAGTTCAAATTTCCTCCTCTTCTCTATGAATTTGTATTATTTCTAAGACACTTGACACATGTTTAAACACTTCCATAGCTCCTCAGTCTCAGGAAATACGCCTTGTTCAGCTGAGGGGGAAAAAAGCATGTAACGAGGGAGTTCACAAGGGTGGATATTTTTTTACAACATTCTTTAAAAACTAGGAAACCCTCTTTAAACACCAGGAACGGCTTAAATAATTCACCCCGGGCCTGAGGGGCCCAGGTGGACGTTGCCCTCTCTGCGTCCCTTTCTGAGGGCCTCCTCCTTAGGCTTCGTCCCCAGCGCAGCTATGAGGCGCTGAGGCCTGTCCTCACCTGCGCCTCGGCCTCTCCTTCCCAGGAGCCCACAGCGGCCCGCGGCTGTGGAGAGCGCCTCGAGGTCAGGCCTGCGCTCCCGAGGTTGGCGCGGGCCGCCGCGCCCTCGTCCCCCCTGGGCGCAAAGGATGCCGGGAGCGAGCGGAAGTGCGGCCCTCGACGCCTACGGCGGCCTGGAGGAAGCGGGTTCGAGGCCACAGGGCCAGGCCTGGGCCGCCGCCCAGGGGAGCGAGCGAAGCTGCGGATGCCCGGTCTTCTGGGCACCCTGTGGTCCTGCACAGCCGCTGAAAAGGCTGGTGGGAGGCCAGTGCCCTCCGCGCAGCGCCTTGACGCAGCCTGGGCGGGCGCAGAAGGGCCCCCTAGGTGAAAGGGCCCCGCTCCGTCTCCAGGGGGACCCACCTCGCGGACTCCGGCCCTCGTTACGTTTGTTTTGCAGGAGGGAATTGTGCAGCCTGGGCTGCGGACCCACGGCGGGGGAAGGCAGCGGAACGCGGCTCCTCTCGAGGCCGGCGGCCGGCAGCCCAGGAAGCACCTGTCCCCGCCCACCTTGACCCGGCCGCCGGCCTCCCGCTCAGAGCCCAGCCCCAGGCGGCGCGGATCCCGGGCCAGCCCCGCGGGGGTCTCAGCGACGGCGAAACCCGGAACCTCGCGGTCCCCGAGTGCTCCCGTGCCAGGGGACTACCTGGGTCCCCCGGATCAAGCCCCGCTCCCCAGAGCAGGGAGAGTTCGACGCTCCCCAGGAGGGAGTCTCCATGGAGGAATTCGTCCTGCTTCACTTCCAGAGTTGAAAGCCCGGAGGCCGTCGGTTCTGCAAAGAGAGTCGGGCGCGGGCTAGACAGCAGCTGATGAAAATAATTGTCTTCGCACACACAGCCCTGCGCCCAGGGGCGCGTGCACGCGCACACACACACACACACACACACACACACACAACTTGACCCCGCTAGCTACCCAACCTTAATATTCCGGGCATGCAGTTTTCAACAACTTGCTTGACACAATAACAAAGACATTTAAATGCCAGGACGCAGACTTCACTTTTTAACCTGCTGAGAGGAGCTACTTTCAAAGCTTCCCCACCGCGAATAAACTGACAAAAAATATGGGGTACACTTATAAATTAAACACCTTACCGTCAAAGCAGTGTACGTTAATCAGGTTTCTAAGGCAATAGCCATCTCTGTCTTTTCCTATTCACCCAAATAATGCCCCAAGAAGGAACCCCTTTACACAAGAGAGAGCTGGGGGGTGGGGGGAATTGAATTATACCCATTGCTAGTAAAAATCATCTTAAATCAATAGAGCACCACTTGAACTTGAGTTTCCATTGTTTCACTGAATCATCAATGTTTTTAATTAAACAGTGCTACCCTTTCTGGTATAACATTACATAAAAGGGTTAGGTTTCTACTTTTGTTGAGGCAGCTGGCGTTTGTTGGCTGTTGTGTTTGAGCAACAGACTGTTCAATAGAAGCGAGAAATAGCTCAACGCGCTCTTAATAGACCTGTTTCAACAATGTACCTTGAAAAGGAATACATTGTGTTATTGTGTTAGTTTGCTACAAACCTATTAAAAGAAAAATAGCATCCATCAGGTCTAACAAAACGCATTTGTATCATACGTACTTATCTGCTTCAAATACACTTCTTGGCACAATGTCTAGAATTCAACTAGATCATCAAGAGCTGGACAGAAGAACACATACCAGTTAGGAAATGATACACGGTCTAAAAATAATAATAAAGGAAAGTCTAAACAGACAGTAATCCCTTTTTATGAGAAATGCAGACAATCCTACTGCAGTTGAAAATGTGTGGATTTCTACGGCAAAAAAAAACATTTTAAAAAATTTTTGTAGCACGAGGATATTGATCCAAATCCCATATTTGGAATGAATCTGATATACTTTCGATAGCAATTTGTTTCAGAGAAAGATTCAGGGCAGAAGCGATGCATTTTAAAGCAGAATTAAACAGCGCAAAGAGCCTGGGTCTTTAGGGAAATGCGTGAAACAAACAAATCGAAAGCAAGGGTTCCAGCCAAGAGGTAGGGGAGCAGCGCTGTCTGGCAGTAGGAAAGGAAATGCTTCTTGAAAGTGCTTTCTTAAAAATGATTTTAAAACTTATTTATGGCATTTTAAAAACAAAGTGAAACTTGAAAGGGAAAAAAGTGATATTCCCGTACCCGACAGAGCCTGTGGTCTATTGCAGGGACGACCGCCACTTGGACCACAAACATGAGGGAAAGAAGAGACAAATGATGAGGCTAATTTAGCTCTGAGGTTGCTTAGCAGAAAGGACACCCAAAGTAGCATCTGTCAGAGGGATGCATATTTGCTTCCTCTCAAGGCACTTGATTTGGTTTCCAACGTGAGTGCCCAACATTCAGTTTTCAAGTGCAAGAATTTGGGGGCACAAGAGAATAACAGATTGTCTACAATTGAACACAATTGTACAAAAAAAAAGAACTTGCTTAAATTAAAATAGCACCTTATGTGAAATGTCTGTGTTAACAATAGATGAAGCAATATTTTGTCCAATAAAATTAATCACTTGTTATTTTTTGAATTAGTAAATTATCACATGATGATTTAGAAAAATGTCACCCTGAAACTTTAGATGATAATTTTGCCATATTATAAAATAGTTGTTAGACTCCTTTAGAAGGCAATTTGAAGTCAGATGGTTAATATGACTGCTCTCTTCAGTGGAAATATTTTCTCTTCTCAAAAAGTATGTGTGTGTACATGAAAGTTAGTTGAAATATATTTAATTCATACTTTAAGACTTTTCACTGACATCTTTCCTCTAGAGCAAAATCTAGTTTTTAAATTAATTCATTTGGAAATAAAAATAGAAATGAAATTATGAAGTCCAAATTGCATAAAATTAGATTCTCAAATGTATAAGATTGACAGAAAAGATGACATTATCAAAGTGAGAATTTTTAGGTATGTGATAATCTACCAAATATTTAAAAAGAAGTTCACAGTAAGCTGACATGACTACAGTAAGAAATGTTGGCTGAGGGTTTACAAAATATTTCTATTTCCACTTAGAACTTATAGAAATATTTGTATGTCTGAAGTTAAGCCCCCTGGGGAAGAATATTCAATGAATTTTAATTCGAAGACATTTTTCCAAATAAATAAAGAATCACCAAGCAGATCATTTGAAAGCTCAGCAAAGGAGAAATATATTTTAGAGGAAGAGTGTAATCTGATTCTTTGTTTTGTTCTTGGTCTTCAAAATCCTTGACTCTCTACCCTTACAAAGAATCTTTAATAGTATATGAAAGTTAAATGTTTTTATTTATTTAAAATAAAAAGTCCAAATAACATACAGTATAATTTGTTTCCCTTAAAAGATAGGAAGAAGGGTATCATATAAAGATGATTTTCTATATTCCCTCTATTTTTTCCTAGAAATAAATTTCAGATATGTTAATCTCTTATCACTAATATCTAGAAAGTTTTAACCAACCAAATCCTAAAACTTTCTGTACTACTGTTGATTCTAAGCAGCTCTAACTTGAAAGATTTTGGAGAGTACATTTTCAAAGCATCAAGCCTTTTTTACAATTTCTTGGTCTGCCTTTGGTAAGGTAATGAGTACCTTTTTTGTTTCTTTTGCTTTTTAGCTCAGAAGTGTGGGAAGAAAAAGAGGCCAATATGTTTTCAACATTTCTGTTGCATGCAATTATTTCAATGCCATTCTCTGGTGTTGTGTCTGAAAAACGGGTGGCTGAGCCCACTGCCCACAGTGCAGACATTCTGCTGGATCCACCCCTGGGCACAGTCATCAAGAGGGAAAAGATTCAGCTTCCAAACTTGATTAAAAACAGCCCAACAGTTTCTGTCCCGTTAAAGAACTGCGTGGCTGGGCAAGCTGAGTAAATTACTTCAGAGAGGAGCTGGCTGAGGGCTATGTCTCTTTCACATGAGAGCAGAGAAACTTGAGGAAAGCAATCAGCTAGAAGATTGCAGAAGGCTTGAACCCAAAACCCACAGCTAAAACCTACTTTGCAGGATGTAGGTGCCTGGAAGGTGTGATTCTAAGTTGTAATTTTTCACCTTAATTTGAAAGGAGAGCAGAAACACTTCACACAAAGACCTACAGAGATGTTTGGGAATTGTTAACTTATTTCTAACAGACTTTTTTGTTTTCCATTTGATAAATATTTCAAAATATCTTTTTCCCCTTAAAGTTACATTCTGGAAAACATAATTAAAAGAAAAAGACTAAAGTTTGTTGTTTTTTTTTTTTTTAAATGAACTTGGAAAAAAAAATAAATGAACTTGGAGTGAGGACTATGTGGGTTGGTAAATAAACTAGATGCTTGTCAATATCTTTTTAATGATATGTTGTTGCTATTTTCTGGCTGGCCATGGCCATGTTTTTATGGTTAAGACTAAAGACATCCAAACTAGAATCTGAATATGAGCTAAAGTAGGAGGTTTTCTGGTGTGTTTCAACAATAAAATAAAACCTGTCCCTGTATGTGCCTGTGTTCTTCTATTCAAAATTTTATTCCAGAAAATAGTTCAATTTGTTACCTTTTCTGTGGGCTCAAGAGGAGGAAAATATGATACATTTGGGGATTTTTCAGTAGAGCTGTGTTTAGTTTTAATTTTCCTGCATTTTAAAATAAACACTTTGACCAAAGCATGTTTGATCTTTGCAAGAAGGAAGTATACATTGTGAAGGAATGTGCAGCGGTTGGACATGAAAATGGGGTTGTGACTCACAGCTGCAGGCAGAAAAAAAAAGGCGTCGTGGTGTCAGCCAGAGGTGTTCAGTCTAATAATTCAAGCTGTAAACTGTATCCCCTAAAATTACCTACATAATAAATCATTGTATGAAGAAAAAAAGTTTGGAGTGAAAAGTGTAAGAGAAACAGAATTCGCAGGAGACTTCAATGCTGGGATCTATTGGCAATGGATATGAAACATGGGTTTATTTTGTCCAAAACTTTAAGGATCCAAATAATACTAAAAATCATTCTAGAACAGCTCATTTTTCTCCTGGCATGCGTTTCAACACATTTTTATATAGTCTGTCACAGAAATGGATTTGCATTTTCCCCCTCCTGATCACACTGCTAAAACTGGTTTATGGGATTTAGTGTCAATTTATGCAGTTTTGAGAAAAAAAAAAAAAAAAAAACAACTAAATTTAAACTGGCTTTATTTTAGAAAAATAGTGATAACCAAGTTATCAAATGCATATCAAGGACAGAGGGAGAAATCTTTCTGAAAATTCCCTTAGGTTCCTGTCTCATATTTGTGTTGCTTCTAGGTACCCAAGAAAACACCAAATTTACGTGAATGGGTGTATTAGCTTGCCTAAGAATTGAAGGCTAGGTTGAAACACTTAAAGACACTGCGGTTGGTAAAGCTAGTGCCAAATCCTGGAGACTTGAAAAATGAGAACGTTTGTGGGTAGAATGCACCCATTTGGAGTAGAAAGGAGCTCCAGTCCCTGGTCTGGGCCAGGGTAAAGATGCAGTTGTCAGAAGGAAGTTTAAAGGCCAAGGACACAGCAAGTCTTTGAAACAATAAGGGTGAGGAAGTCAAGAAGCAGACACGCCAAAGCCACACTGAAACAATTTATTTTATAGGATCCCCTACATTTCCAGAATTAGTGAGCAGAGGCAGTCTGAGAACATGGGCTGTGGGTTCTTGCGCTCACACGGGCACCGCGAGGGGAGAGAGTCAAGATAACACCGGTGTCTTTTGCCTGAGCATCGCACAGGAAAATATAAGGAGGAGGAAGGGGAGAAAATAGGCAAAACGAAGCTGGGAAGGCTGACTCCAGCGAAGTTTGCAATAAAGATTAACTGGAAAAAGGATGTCCACAGCAATTAAAGCCCCTGCCCTGGCTCATTAGTATTCATGACTGAATGTTCAGCTTTTCTG